ATAATAGCCTCTAACTCCACACGTCAAGGGTCCAATATGAAGTTCTACAAATTGGTGGGTATGCCTATCCCAATTACATACTCTAGAACTGGGGAAAGAACTATAGGATGGGTTCAGGGACCCAGTGTGAGATGGATGCCAGCTATACATTAATAACCTGACTGACCTATGCTGCTAATCTCGACTGGTGGGCCACAGTGACATTTTGGGTCTCATGGAATTAGTGTCAATTCAGAGTCAGTGCCCAGTAATCCCCAAAAATGTCTACTCCTTCTACCCCAACGAACACTCACTTTCATACAAGGCCTCAAGATCCCTTTGTGGAAGGCTGGAAAACATTAACAGTGTAAAATTTTGGCAGCGTACTAGGTTCTCCCTTAAGGGGACTTGGCCTCCCCTTCATTCAAGGGGTAGTGGGTCTGTAAACTAGCTCAAGTCTGGGAATTCACTGAGGGGCTGTAACACTCTATTCTGGTGATTCAAGGTAGACTGCTGTTTACGTGACCCAAAATTCTTCTCGTACAGATGAAGTAAATATTTAGACTTTTCCATCTATTTTATTCCTAGGAATACCATGACAAAGTGGCTAATGCCCTAAGTCCATACAAGGGGAAGACTATTCTTATTAGTGCTTTGACTCTGTTATCCATTGTGATAATCACACCTACACTGTCTTTAGCGACTGAATGCCATCTCTTGGCACCACCATGGCGTCCAATCAGCTCCACTGTAGTTAGGTGTCTCAATTCACTCAGGACAGTTCTCACCATCAAATCTGACTTAGACAGAGTAGCAATCACAGCAGTCTTCAAGGATTCTGTGGCTCCTTTCACAAATTTGTTCCTCACTGTTGTGGTAAAAGGTGTGTCTGTTGTCTGGACACTCCATGGATGGGCCTGTGGGTCCAATCTGATAAATGTACTCTAATCGTTGATTTCCCTAAGCCTTTTGATATCTTCTTCTACAGTGTCCTAAGGGAGATCTGCCACCAATTCCATTTAGTATGGGCCACCACTTCATCTATGCTTCAGTGAACTGAGGTAGGGGCACTCAGGCAACCTAGGCTTGCTTCCACTTGGCTTTTCCTACCATAACAGCCCTTATTCCACATGTCAAGGGTCCAATACGAAGATCCACCATTAGATCCTTTCCTAACTTCTCAAGCTGAGTCACCAAATGAAAAATCTGCATTTAGTTGACTCTTATCAATAAACTCAGACTGACAAAACTTGTCCCTGCTCCATTATCCCACACCTTTAATAGCCATCCCCACACATATTCCTCAGGTTTCTGTTTTCATATATTAGAAAAATCAAGCAATTGTTTTGGAGTGTAGTGTACCTCTTCCTTGGTCACACTTTGTACTTCACCACTTGGGGACTGCTGGGACCTAAGAAGTCTAGTTATAGGTTTAGAAGCACAAGTGGGTGGTGTGGGTGGGTCCTGGTACATTCAGCAATGTCTTGTAAGGCATCTGCCCTGGTAATGCCCTAGGCAGTATCTCAGACAGACTCTTCGGGTAGAGCTAGGTTCGCTCATCAGATGGGCGGTGGAAGGGATAATGGTTTTCCTGGGAAGTATGGCTTAACAGACAAAGATGGAATGATCTCTTCAGATGGGAGTAAGAGGGTTGTTTCTGATGGCAGGAGTGATTCAACACAATTTAGGGTCTCCATGTCCCCAGCTTCTTGATTATTTGCCCATATGTCCTTAAATTTCAGGAACCCTTTTCTTCCCATTGTCCTCACTTCAGACACCATTCAAGGCTGGGAATTCAACTGGCACTGTAATTCAGCAACTCTTACAATAAGACTCTGGGTTTGTTTTTTGGCAATATCAATCCTGGTACTACAAGAAATAAGGCTTTATTTCAGGACACAAGTGGAACTTTTAGATCTTGTATATGGCACTTGAGCTGTGACACTGAAACTTTTAGCACTTTGTCTACTGACAGTAGCACCAACCAACCAACTTCCTTTCACTTCTCATTCTGACAAAACCAGAAAAGTATTAAATGTACAATCACCCAGAGCATTGTTTCTCACAAATATCTGATCCACTGGTGGCGATATTTTGTGTATTTCTATTGCCACTTCATACCACTGTTTAACAGTGCCCTCTTTGCTACTAGAGGCAGAGTCCTCAGTGCCTTTAAGACTAGCCAGACTTGAAAACCATTTCAGAAAACTCATCCTTACAATTCTGTTCCCCTTGAACCACTGTTGGTACCAAACGTCTTAAGAGGCTGTTTCTCTAAAGGAGCAAAACAGTGAAGTGCATATAAATATACATATATACATAGAAAGGTTTATTTACAGGAAATAGCTCATGCAATTGTGGAGGTTGGCAAGTCCCAAATCCGTGGGTTAGGTGTCAGACTGGAGGCTTCTCCTTACTCACACAGTTGCCAGGGCTGATAAACCCAAAACAAGCAGGTTAGACGGCAGGCTGCTTGTTCATGGGGGCTACAGGACTTGGCTAATCCCCAATTCACAGGTGAGACAGCAGGCTGATGGCTCACATCCCAGGATCCAGAGAGCAGAAGACAATGAGCCCACACAGGACTGAGAGAGGTTGAGCTCGGCCAGAATATCTATATTATTGGAGGTAGGCCCCGTCCCCAGGGACACTCCTCTTTCAACTGAATGGCTGTTCACATCAGATCACCAATGGAGGATTAACACATCATATCTGCCAAACCACTGAGAATCATCCCCTAGCCAAACTGATAAGTAACCTTAATCATAAGGTTTTAAGGACTAACAACTTTCACAAAATTGGATCTTTTGATCCAAATCTCTGTACTGAAATATGTTCTCTTTAAATTACCCGAAATTTTATAATTCTCTACATAAAGGTCAGACAGGCATATGGGGTGAACATTCATATCAGGTAGATACCTCCTTGAAGCGATCAGTCGTGGGAGAAGAGAACAGCAGTGTTTGTACAGGGAGAGAGCTTGAGGGGTGGGAGTGGTTCCTAATAATAAAAGCCTACATTGCCTTGAAGAGCCTGCTGGTAGAATGATGGACATCAAAGGCAATTCTGGTGAGGGCTCAGAAGGAAGTGAGGAGAGCCAGAGAGGAAGTTTCTATCGTCTTAGAGAATACATTTGGCAGCCTGCCCCCCAAAAAAAACCCTCAAACAAAACTGTCATTCAGTCAATTCTAACTCATAACGACCCCCCACTGAGTTTCTAAGGCTGCAAATCTTTACAGAAGTAGATCGCTCTATTTTCCTTCTGCAGAGCGGCTGGTGGGTTTGAACAGCCGACCTTCTGACTAGCAGCTAAATGCCTTATCCACTACGCCACTAGAGTGCCTTCCCAACAGAATGTGGCACCAGCAACAGAATGTTCCTAGAAATGTGGACATTCAACGTCCTTCTGGTACATCACTAAAAGAAAATGATGAACATGTGATTCGACAGTGGAGGAAAGGGATACCTCTCACGCAGAGGTAAAGAACTTCTCTGAATTGCGTTCAAACGTTTGGTGGAAGGTACAACTTGTGAGTGATGGACTTGGTATTTGGGTGCAGAGATTTCGAAGCAAGATCTTGAAAGGCGCCATGTGTTTTCTCCTGGCTGCTTACATGCAATAGGAAAGAGAGGGGCTTAAAAATGAACTGTGTAAAAATGAACGGAACTTAAAAGATTGGGAAAATTCTATTGTACAAACTAAGTACACGTGTCCCAGAGTGTTCACTAAGGACGTGGTTACACATCTTTTGTTAAAGAGATCGATCCTGTGATTGATAGGTCTAAACAACTGCTACAGCAGAAAATTCATCAGCTGAGACTGAAGGAGACAGAGAAGAGAACCTCGTCTGCCCCTTGGAATTCTACGGGCAGGGAACAGGCCATCAGGGCCGCATGTGTCGTCTTCCAAGAAAAGAAAAGGACCATCCCTGGACCAGCTTGGAGACCAGCAGAACTGTGGAAGGAGCACGGGAAACACAGCATGGGAAGCACTATCACTTTTCAAGAAGCATTTCAGGGCATAAAGGAAGAAGGTATCTGACTGAAGAATGGCTTCTGGGCAAGATCATACTTTTCTCTCAACTGTCAACATGTTTGCTGGTAGCCAGTGCAGTAAATGAAAACTGAATGCTACTTTGATTCTCTTTCCTTTGTAATTTTTCCTATGAACTTGTAAGATTTTTTTTCTTTATTCTCAAAATTCAGCAACTATATAAAGATACATCCAGATTTTGTGTGTTTTTGGCCTTAGAATCCCCACAGAAAACCATACAATTTTGGTCTTCACCTTCACACTCTGAAGAGAGGCAAGCCCTGTCCTGAGCTAGTCCATCAGTTCTGGGCAGGAACAGAGAGAAATAAAGCCTGTGTCTGTCATCTCCCTGGAGACCTAAGGAAAAACCTATAACAACAGAGATGTGCCCACAAGATTCATCTATTAGATCATTGCCTAAGAAACCGGAACGGAGAGGGAAACTGGGACATGCATTCAAACCATAACCTGTCTAGGATTTCCCAGCAATCCAAAAATCAGTCATTTCCAACCAACTCTTACATGAAGTCATTTTAGGCTTTTATAACCTTGACCAATATTCATCTAAGGAAGACGTGCAGAATTCAAGTTTCAATCTTTATGAAGAAGAAAGTTAACTAAAAGTTTCCTTTTAGGTAAAACTGCTTCCTTTTGGGTGAAATGGCAAGAAATCAGCAACAATACAAGGGAGCACTAGTCAGCCGTAAGAAAGTGGGGGTGGACCAGGGAGGAGAGGAGTGGGGAGCTACTGCTCAACGTTCTGTGTGGGGTGATGAGACACTCTGGGGAATGGACGGTGGTGATAAAGGCAAAGTATAATCAATCACTGAACTGTGTACTTGGAAATGTTTCCAAGACCAAAATTTGTTACATGTATTTTACCACAATAGAAAGAAAACAAGATGAAATGTACAACAAAACCCCCAGATGATTTCAATAAGCCATCAACTTTCAGCTTGTGCATCTGCATGACGTTCTGGTACGGTACCTGATCGTGTATGTCGACCATGACCGCGTTCTGCTGTGGCGGGTGCGCGGCAGGATGTAACAGGCGGGGGGATACATTCGGAGGGTGGAAGGCTCGCGGTTCCTCTATTGCTTGCTGCTGGGCGTATGGGAGGTGGTGGTAGTTTTCATCCTGACTGATGGAGTTGTGTCGAGACAGCCGATCCCTTCTTCCTCTCTGGCGCCTGACAGGAGGACTGCAATACAGTAAACGCCAAAGGGAAGGTGATGCAAGGTCTGCTGTTACAATCCTCCGGACTGTCCTCTCAGCCGTCCATATGTGCTAATGGACGCTTGAGTACTAAAGGACCACTATGGTTCACCATCCACGCTAAAAACTTACAAACTAAACGGTACGTGCTTTTAAGAAAGAAAATTGGTATTCGGCTCTGAGAGTATTTAGACATCAATAGACAGCCACTGTCTCTATTTTTTCCTGGGGGAGGGGTGGTTTGAATCATATGAAATTACCCTTTTCGTGGGTTTAAAAAAAGTCAAGGATCAGCAATTTCACTGGATTCCCCCCAGTATCTTGCTCTCCTTACTTTAGAAATACTATAATAAAAAACTTTCACTCTGCAGCCCTCATCAGTATTCTTCATACACCCAATGGGCCCTTTATGTTTCCCATTTGGCTAAGACCTATGAAACGCATAGTTCCTAGATGTCCAAAATGACCCCCAAAAGTGAAAGAAGGCGAGAAACAACTGGAGAACATCCACCAGATAGCTCGCTGACTACTGTGAATACAGGAAATGAGTCAATGCCGAGAATGGAAATGACTGCAAGGCGGTGTCGACACAGATTCCGGGAATCTAGAATTTTCCATTAGAAGCTGGTTAGTAAAGCAAACTACTTTTAGTCCTACAAGCATTAATAGCCACCTTCTCAGTTTAACAAAATTTTAGAAATTTATTACTGTGACTCCACTTCTCTAAACCTTCATAATTCAGCTCAACGGCTTTTCAACAGCTCAGCACAAATATAATTCTAAACATTGGTAACTGATAACCAGACCAAACTCATTCCCACTGGGTTGATTCTGACTCACTCTGACCCTACAGGACAGAGTAGAACTGCCCCACAGGGTTACCAAGGCTGTCAATCTTTACAGAAACAGACTGCCTCATCTTTCTTCCCACAGAGGAACTGGTGGTTTCCAACTGCCGACTTTTTGGTGAGCAGCTTAATGGTCTAACCAATGCACCACCGAAGTGCCTCTAAAATGTAATGTTGTGTTCTTTGTTGTTACGTGCTGTCAAGTCGGACCCAAATCATAGCGACCCCTCCTTGGGTTTCCGAGGCAGGATCTCTACGGAAGTAGATTGCCCCATCTTCTTTCCAAGGAGTGGCTGGTGGGTTTGAACCACCAGCCTTCTGGTTAGCAGTCAAGTGCTTTAGGCACTTTGCCACCAGAGGACCCCTTAAAATGTACTTCATTCTGGGCAAAGGAGGCCAAACCTTTCCCTTTCAGGCATAGCTGGCCATGAGCAAATGGCTTAGCAGCTTCTGAGAGGTTAGTCCCACTCTCTCCATCTCCTTCCTCTGTGCCTTTGAACCCGTCTCTTCCCATCCTTCCTCACTCTCCGAGCCTCAGAGAAAACTGCTTTGAAAGATGAACTTCCCACCAGGGCTCCGTGCCGCCCCCTAGGTTCCTGCTGCCGTCACTGCTTTCTGCATCTCTTGGTAGCTTCCCTTCTGCATCTTCCCTTCAAAATCTACATACTATATTTAAAATGCCACACACCTTACGATCTTACAGCATTTTTGTAAACTTTTTGAGATAAATTTCAGTATAAAGAGTTTCTACGTACCACTCACCTTTTCCCCTCATGCTAGTATCGTCCATAATCATAAAATAATCATCAAAATTAAGAAATAACCTTGATATGTAAGGCCATTAACTAAACTGCAGAATTTCTTTACACTTCACAGTCTTCCACCAATGCCTTCCCTCTGTGTCAGAGTACAATGCAGGGGCCCACACTGCATGCGGTTGTCACATCTCCATCATCTCCCATCTGTGGTAGGTTCCTCAGTCCTCCCTCGTCACTCACAACACTGACACCTCTGAAGACACTGGTCATGCACCCGCTCGGAATGCTTCTCAAGCTGCACCTGTCTGCGGTGTTCTCGCCAGCTGACTCAGGGTATGCCTTACAGAGGACACCACAAAGGGACGTGCCCATCTCAGGGCCTCACAGTGCGGGGCACGTGGTGCTGACATGCTTCAATGGTGGCATCCACACCGAGCACCTGGTTAAGGTGCTAGCGGCCAGGCCCCTCCACTACAAAGCCAGCCTTCTCCTCTTTGTAATTACCTAGTATCTGGGGGAGATCATTTGAAACCATGCAAACATTCTCCTGTTCAAACTTCCGTGTCTGTGGTTGGATCCACAGCCACCATTACTGCCGTATTCTAACGGTGATTTTCTATCTCCCTCGTTTGTTCCGAATTTATTAACTGAAATTCTCTGGTAAAGATCACCTGCCACTCTCTCCCTCCCCCATCTGTTTAGTCAGTTCATCAGTTACGATCAGTAAGAACTCAAGGGTCTTACTTTTGTCCTTTGGGTTACATCCATTCTAGCATTCTGACATTAAATTTATTCCAACTTTGGCTCCTTGTGCTTGGAGTCTCTGCCATTTCACCCCGTCCTCATCCTCTGAGCATGTCTTTAATACCTGACACCATCGCCTGCTCCTGGCTCATCTCATAAGAGCCCCTGCTCCAGCCCAGGAATCACACAGTTCTCCAAGGAGCTCTCATTCCTTTTACTGTGGAGCGGTGTTTAGAGACAAAGATGTATGTGCTCAGCGTGCTTGCTGCTGTCAGGGGTCACTGCTCTAAGCTCCCTCAACAAACAGCAAGGCACCACACCGACAGATACCAAGCTCCTACACACTCACACACACCCATCTACACTTCGTTATCTAAGTGCCTGTAAATAATGTTCAAGGACTACTTTACATACACGGAAACATCAGAAACAATAAAAAAAATCAAAGTATATTTAAATAAAAACAACACAACAAAAATGAAAAATACATTAAGAGTACATTCAAAGGCATTAAAATTATCACCAACAAGGGAATGGTAACAGCTCATCAGAGAAGAGAGCATCCCCTGCAGGAAGCTGGAAGGAGAGTGACAAAGGGCAGGAGCATGCACAGGGCAGATGGCCTTCCAGGACAAGGACAGTGTTCTCTTCCAACAGGTGTTGGGTACATGCGCTCGTTTTACTATTTTACCCGCCCACTTGTTTTACATGTTCTTCTGAACATATGGCACATTTCATCATAAAACAAGAGGAAAAGACTACAGTAGGTGCTGAGGCTGGAACCTGAACCAAATACCTGTATGCCTGTGCTTAATAGCTGTAAACCCTTTTCACTTAGTAGATGTACATTATCTCACTGACCCTTCCCATGTAACAGCATACCAAGGTATGGGGTAATGTGAACTTGAATGCCTGAGTGTCTCAACAGAATACAGTTGAGAAGCAGGTTTATTTGCTTCATTTGAAGCAAAAATTGGTGGTTTCAGGATTCGCTACTAACTCCAAAATGGAGATTATAAATATTCCTTAAGACTACCAACATCCCAGACATGCAAACACCTGTCTTGTCCCAAAGATGAATCTTCCCCTGGAATAAGACATGTGTGGCCTCAGGCAAGGCCCTAGGGGCAGGAAGCTCTGGCTCCAGGGAAGGAAAGGCAGGAGCCCGGCCCCAGGGAAGGGAGCAAGCGCCGCACGCTGGACGAAAGCTCAGGCCCCAGTGACGCAGGGAATCGAATTCAGCCCTCAAGTGCCTCAGAGGACGCAGGGACCAGAAACAGAGCAGAGTGCAGGGCCCACCTCAGGCCGCCCAGGTGGGAACTACAGAGTGCATCTCCTGGTCACCAGGGTTACAGAGGAGCTCACGGAAAGTCTTATGCTGGAACATACAGGCAGGCCCCAGGCTGCCAACATCTGATTTACAGACAACTCATACTTGCCCTGTGATATCATGTAGATGTGCCCTCACTTTGAAATGAATGAACCAACTCCTTCTTACAATACATTCTTCAGCACAGTCCCCTTCACTCACTGTACATGCAGCTTCTAAATCATTTGAGAAGGACTCAGATGTCCCTCACACTACAGGAAGGCTAAGTAAGAACTGTGTGCACCTGTTTCAACTCACCTACAATGCGACTTAAGGACTTGAAGACAGAGTTAGGAAAGGACCTTGTTCGTAACCCGGGGGCTGCCTGTCGTTGAACTCCTATGAATGGCATGGGCTGACCATGGCTAAATCCCCGCAGCCTCTTTCAATTTCTTCACCTATCATTTACGAGCTGAAGGAACCTCATGATTTAGTGTCAGAGCCTAAACAACTTGTAATGTTATTTCTTGTGTGTAATTTTACACGTACAAATGTGTTGATGTGTGTATAAAACGCATTCTGATGCTAAAAAAAAACTCACACGCCTACTAACAGAAGGAAATGTAATTTGTTACCAACTAACCTTCTTCTGTTGCGTGCAGGTGTGTTGCATCGTTCCCCTGAGAAGTGATGTTGGCTCGGTCGGACTGAAGGGGGCTGCCTACTTGAGGTCATCTCCCATGGTCGCATTGGTGGGGAGGGAGCTGGTGATGCTGATGTGTAATCAAAGACTGAATGAGAGAGGCGCTGTCTCTTGGGACTTGGACTATCTTCACTCTGCCAATGCAACAAAATCAGTCAACTGAGTCAGGATTTCACATCACTGCATGCACATGTGTTGAAATATATTTACCCGAAAATGTAGAGGAGGAAAAACTGTGTGATCAACCAAAATTAAAGACCTTAAAAAAAAAAAAAAAAAAATGCTAGAATGGAGGAAGGAGATGCCCAGTAAATAAAATAAAAAATGAAGTCTAGTTTTTAAAAATTATCACAAAATCCATTACGTAGCAGCCAACAGGGCACACAGAAGTGCAATGGGCACGTGTGTGGTACTTGACATTCTTTTCCACACCCACGCATCTGAGAAGTCCCTGTATTCGCCATCGGTGACGTACCCCAGGCAGTGACTCTCAGCTCAGAGTCCAGCTGAAATGGTCATCATTTGGGTAAGATTTCAAATGGACTCTCAATCACACTCACGAACCCCCACATCCTCTCCCATCATCATCCTTCTGTTGCTTGGGCCAGAGTGTGTACTTTCTCTAATGAGGGTTACCTGGATAAAATAAATTTGATATGAAACAGATAAAGGAGCATTCAATTGACCCAAACCATCAGTTCTTGACTAGAATGTCCCGGCACTCTAGGAGTCCCTGCAAGAAAGATGTGGCACTTCAGGCAGAACACGGGGACAGCTGGCAACTCAAAACCTGCACCTGTTATCTCAAGGAATATGCTGAGGTTTTCATGGGCCACAGCATTGCTTATGATGCCACCTGACATGGATCACTGAACTGCACTGTTAACTTTCCCAGGTCACCCACCCAACTCAATGTTCCAATGAAAGCTCACCAAAACTACGTAGTATTAGCTGAAAGCTGCTAAGGACTAAGTGGGCTCTGACAGAATCTATCTCCAACCTGCTCCCCCCAAGCTCTAGCTACCTGTGCAATGACACCTTGGGCGGCACGAGTTCTGGAGCCTGGTGCTGTGCAGTCCAGTGCAGTGAATTACCAAGGAGGCCCTTCTGGCCCGAGTCTTTACAACTCTCACCAAACAGCTGGGTGGTGGTGTTGTTGTTATGTGCCGTCGAGTCAGACCCGACTCATAGCGAGCCCTCCTTGGGTTTCTGAGGCAGTATCACTACGGAAGTAGATTGCCCCATCTTCCTTCTGAGGAGTAGCTGGTGGATTTGAACCACCAGCCTTCTGGTTAGCAGTCAAGTGCCTTAACCACTATGCTACTAGCGCTCCCACAGCTGGGTAGGACTATGCAAATGTGAGGTGCTTGTGGTCCACCAAGGGGACTGGACGGCTTGCTAATATAACAATACAAATAAGGTGCATGGCACACTTAATAGTTTAGGACTTTGTAAATAAGGTGTACGGAACCCTAACTTGGGGACTGGTCAGCTGGCCATCCTGCTAGACTTAAAATGAGCCCCCCAGAGGTGGAAAGGGCGAGCCCTCACTACCACCCAGAAGAGATGCGAGTGGACCTGGGATCCCCGCTGAGAATGTCTCTAAGCCAGGAGCCGAGAGAGGGCTGCGACACCTTGTGGAGAGGGCGATGATGGCGAGGAGCAGCAGCAGAGCCCGAGAGCGCAGAGTGGGCTTCTGGCTCCATGGAGTAAGACAGCCGAGCACTGCCAGGCAGGAGGCGGCAGGAGGGGGGGCTGCCTTCGGCACCTGGTGGAGCTAGCACCGAGCTCCTTCAGTCTGAGGCTTATTGGCAGAGCCAAGAGCTTCGTAACATGTGCCTGCGCAGGGCAGAGGCTGAGGGCCAGAGAAGGCATGCCTTGGGCACTGCTGAGAAGAGATGTCCCGTTTGAAGGCCTGCACCCTCAGTCATCTCCGATCCCACACGGTAACTCAGCTGAAACCCCACAGTCACTGGGTATCGTGTCTGTATTCTGATCAAGCCGTGGGAGGAAGAGGTGGTGTCAGAAATGGTAGGAGACTGGGCAGTGGAGGCCTGTCGGACCTCTGTCTCACAGGTATTAGCTCTGGGCCTATGGGCATCCACCGCCCCCAGGAAGTTTGAGGAGGTCACGCCTCCGCCACATCATTTGTACGCCCAAGAGCCATCTTCAAATGTTACCATGAGTACACGGAGCTACAGAGCACAGCTTCAGCGTGCGGGAGAGAAGCACATCAAACAACGGATTACTCAAACTGAGGAGGGGAGCTGACCGGTTACATGTGATCACTCCCAAATGAACTAGCAGAGGTATTCCAAAGCCATCTCCTTTTCCTTCTACAATTAAGTAATGTTTCAATGGAAAACGTCATTATAATTAAAAGAGAAAATAGTTTTCAGAATCCCATACAATAAAAGCACGTTTCTGTAATGCTCCCAACTACCCCATGAACCTTACTTTCTCACAAGACTTCACAGTACTATACAGTGCTCCTGCTTTTAGCCTTTAATTTTAATAAGAAAACTAGCTCTTTGTTTTGAGAACTCTAACTATCCAAAGTGGAAAACAACAATTTGGAGCTCCGCTGGCGGAGTGCCAAAGGCATCTGACTGCTGACCAGAAGGGTGGCGGTTCCAACACCAGCCGCTCCACAGAAGGAAATTTAGACAGTTTCTTTTTTTTTTTT